TGCCGATATAAAACTGCTGTCTGCTACTTGTATAAATCATTATTTTTTTGTCTCGTAATCTGCTAAAAACGTTCCAAGAACAAAACACATTCAAATTTTACACGCGCACTCATTTCATTAAAAATAATGAACTTAATTTGCGTTTTATTCGTCGTGTTCTTTCTGACTGAACATTTGGTATGAAATTTATATTAATTTTTTTTTGTTTCAACAAAGTTCCTTCATTTTTTTAATTTTGCAATAGTAAAAGAATAGTTTTTAAAATTTACTATCTATAAATTGAAAAAGATTTTCATGTTTTGAACACCCGCTCCAAGTATAATTCGTTTAAATTTTCTTCTCACAGGAATTCCATGGAAACGGTAACTTCTTTTATTATTCTCAGTAACACGGTGTCTAACAGTTATTGGTGGCAAAAGATCTGCATGTGTCTGGGACTCGACCATCACTTCGATTGATTTGCTAATAGATTTGAATCTCCATTTACAGTTGGTGTACAAGCAATACTTGATGGCACCTATGTTAACAGTATCGAAGGTGGAAATTTTTTGGTGGGATTTTTTTTCGAAGGCGAACATGGATGTGTTGGAACCATTGTTGACAAAGATCGTGTCGTTACTGCCGCCCATTGCATGCAGCGATATGGATACACATTGTCGTTTGGTTCGTTGGATACCAGCGATTATTATTACACAGAATGTAAGTACATTTATGTGGGCAAAAAAAAGTTCATGTCCGCGCAGCATGCAAAATCAATCAATTGCTCGTTTATTTTGTAGACATCACTCAATCCGACATTGTGGTACATCCTGAGTATATACGATATCCCCATGTAACGAACGACATTGCCGTCGTTTTACTCAAATCTCCATTGGACTTCTCGAACAAAAGATTTGGCAAAATACAAATGGTCGCTAAAAATGATGTGCCAAAAACAGGCGATGTTGTTAGTGTATATGGTAAGCAGAGCATAATTAAAAAGTAACGTTGTTTATCATCATTATTTATCATGATTTAGGTTTTTCGCGGTCTGAACATCCGTGGCGAATTAAACAAATCGATAAATTACAATATCGTAACTCAACAATTTACGATTTTTCGAAATGTCAAACCGAATATGAGCAAAGAGATGGGGGTTGGTTGGATAAAAATACAATAATTTGTGTTAGTTTGCGAAACGGTGTTCACAACCGGAATGAAGGAGACTCTGGCGCCCCGCTTCTCACGCAAGACCGAAAATTTCTAGGGATCGTCTCCAGTGGATGGTAAATTTTTATCTCATTTCTTCATACAATGATTTTTGGATAGAATAGATCCGTAAGATCTCCGCAAGATCCAGATCCAAGCGTGCGTACGTAGCCGCGTGATACATACATTCCTTACTCCGTAATGCTATGGCATGCGAATCAAAGAAGGGGAAATAAGAATAATGAATTTACGTGCGTATTATATATGTATGCATCATGCGGCAGCGTACGCACGCTTGGATCTGGATCTTGCGGAGATCTTACGCATCTATCCTATCTAAAAATCATTGTATGCATTTCTTCGATTTAAAGCGGAATTAAGCGGAATTATTTTTCAATTTCAAAATAATAGGCCTGAAATGCCCGAAATTTACACGTATGTTGGGGCCTATCTTGACTTCATCGCAGATCCAAGGGTGAGTATTGAAAATTGGAACTTTTTTCAAATTTATTTTCATATTTTGTAACCGAAACACAAGCCAAACTGACTCTTGATACTTTTAGGGTTTCAGCTCAAGATATCATGGGTCAAGAAGTAGTAATTTTCAGAAGACTTTCAAATATCTTACGAACTGTTAAAAATGTGTTTTTTTTTGTTGCTTTCAAATTAACATAGATCCACACTCATTTAACATGGGTTCGTATGGATACCCGTTTGGCATGGGATCGCACTCCTTCAATGAAGGTGCATACCAAATGGAACCGAGCAGCTCAGACCCCTTTGAATCTAGTAGCTTACACTCAATTGAGCCATCTAGCAGTTCACCTTCAGCTGAATCTACTCAACCATCATCTAGTAGTGATTCGACCAAGACCTCAGCTCCTGTTTTGCTTGATAAAATTGATCAACATAAGTACATAGCATTAATGCTCTACGAGACGGATACCGATGGTCCATACATTAACACCGCTACCATTTTTTCGCCTAATAAAATTGTGACATCAGCTCAAAATATCGCTGACAAAAGTGTATCGGTTACATTATCATTTGGCACTTTGGATGCTAGTAATACTAACTATACGGTGAATGTATCTCGCTCAGAGATCTTCATACATCCGGAATACGACGCGGATTCTTCTCATGCAAATGATTTGGCTGTCATCCTTCTAAAGAAACCGATCAAGTTCGGTAGAAAAGTCGGAAAAATCGACGGTATGGTCGATAAAAAGTTCATAACAGGTCCAGATGATGAGGTCACCATGTTTGGTAAGCATGAAATTGTTAGCATCATTTTGAATTAAATAATAATTATTTTTTCACGGTTCAGGTTTTTCGGAGAGTCGTCTGCGTTATATCAATACGACCGTCGCCGAGTTTGTGGCATGCCGTTATGCGTACTGGGAAAGGAACAACTATCGTGTACTAGAGGAAGGAAAGCAGGTAATTAAAAGTTTTAATCAATGAAAAAATATCAAATGAACATTTACAAATTATTTTAAAATTTAAAGTTTTGTGTCAATACTGGTGGCACCGGATTAAGTTGCGGATACACAGGAGGTACTGAATGATTCAATCAATTCAAACTCAAATTTTAATGGATTTTTTTCAGGACCGATTTTTACAAAAGACAAAAGATTTCTTGGCATCATTTCATACGACTATACAGATTTACCCGAAATTTGTACGTCAGTGACTGGATCAAATTGGGAGTTTATTACTAACCCCAGGGTAAGACAACAATGCGTTTCAATTTAAAAAAAACATATTTTATAAATTTCGGTGTAACTTCGACGGGTTGAATGTTGAATCAGCACCAAAATACTGATGAGTAAACATGATCGGAAGTAGCTATAGAGAATTATTGATCGTTGGGTGCTCAATTTTTGCATAGTTATCGCTGACATTTTTTTAGGATATATGTTTAAACGTTTCCGAAAATGGTGCACCAATTATCTACTCTCTATTTACAGCACTGATCGAAAGTATCAATCATGTTTTAATTCTCATTGATATTTTTGTCTATTTTAGTATTTAGTATTGCGCTTTGGTAACCTCTATCTTTTTTCAGACCTTTATAGCCAACCATAAGAAGGAACTATTGAAGGCTAAAAACAAGAAAAAGTAAAAATTTTCTCTTAAAAAGCTAGCGAAAGCGTAACATCTTTAAGAATTATGAGATGAATGATTAATATATGCGAAAAAACACTTGAAACGATAATTTATGTGCAATAATAAGACAAAAATCGAA